ATTGTACAACCTAAACTGCACACATTCACACACCAAACATTCTTATGTAGTTGCTCATTACAAACATACATTTTGAAAAATAAGCATAAATGCTTCAGAATTCATGTTTTCAGTTTGGGTGTGTGTAATTTTCATTGTAGAGTTAAATGCCTGAGTATCATCAATTTATATTTACCACACATCTTGTTTTACTCATAATATATGGGTGGTAATATACACTAGTCAACATTTAAAGTGGATCAAAACCTTTCATCAAAGTTGTCCTAAAACCTAAAACGCATTCTTGTCAACTTTGATTAACTTTTTTGATCCACTTCAAACGTTGATTACTATAGTTATCATTATTGACCTTCATCAGGTTTGACAATACTAAATTTAAAAAACGAAGCTGTGTAAAGCTGTATAAATATCCTAGATCAAGTCATTTTCACAAATAACTTTCAAAACTGTTCTATGGAGTTTTTTTCCACTGAAAGTTGTTTCAGAAAGACATTCCGTCAACTGAACAATCGGTATGTTGTCAAAAAACAGTACTTTACAGTAATAGACGTTGAACTCGCTGTCCCTCACAGCCTCATTTTCATTCTCGTCAAAAATTAAATATGGCGCTACACTGACTAAGATTTACAGTAATTGTTCTTGGTGTGAACAAGCCCTTAAACCATAAAAAGCTTGTTTAAACCTCTAACCCAAGGTTAGCACCACTAAATAAAAAATATATATATATATTTTCTTGAAAGTCATTTGCCATCCAGGAATTTCATTTCATAATTCTAGTCAAAGCATTTACACCTCGCTTAATTAAATCACAGAACATTTCCTGTTACTTAAGCCCACACTTGGCCTTCTATCCATCTCTAATGCGTTTCTCTCTCTCCGCCGAGACGTATTGTCTGAGTAACACTACATTGGACACGAGATAGCTAAAGGTGCGCCTTTGCTTTTGTTGCCATCTTAATTGATGGTGTGGCTCAGACTGGTTCTCCTGTTTCTAATGGAGTGAGGAGAACACAGCTTTGATGAAGTCTTGCTAGCAGGGGTGTGAAGCGTCCTCCTCCTCTTTCCTCTCCAGCAAAGACAGAGAAAAAGATGTTCCTTAATTACCGAGATTCTGTTCATGTCAGACACACATGAGGGAAAACAAATCCATCCCTCCAGCATGTTATTTGTGTATCTGTCGTTTAATTTATATATTTATGAAACAAATGTTGGACATGGAGGAAAAAAAGGAAGAATGCCGATGGGTATCATTTAAATTGTGCGAAGCAATATTTTATGTTAACCCTGGTAATTAATGTTATGGGAAAACAGAAAAGGAAAAGAATCGCTTTGTTGTGCAACTAGGCAATTTGTAAACCCCCTTCAGAAGTTTTAACATATAAAACAGCACCATCAAGGATCTTCACTTTCAAATGAACAGATATGGAGTCTCCGTATCCAAAACTCGACGAAAGTATGAAGCTATATGGAGATGACATAGCGTGCTGGCCATCAAGGCCCTCAGCCAAGAAAATGACAGGCACCTTCAGTAAATCCTGAGGGAATTCATTAGGAAGCACGTAGCACAGCTCCTTCAAAAGCCATTTGTGAACGTCTCATGGAATTTGAGCACTGACTGCTTTGCTTTAAGGAACTAAAAGGATCCTGGATGAAACAAGGCCATTTAAACTTATGAATAAACAGCTTCGTTCTCAGACAGTACCTCACACTCGTCTAGCGGATACTGGCAAATTCCTTTAAGCAATATTCATTTGCCACGAGTTCATTTAACAGCCAATGGAGCTTCTAACCAGTCATTTATTACCGCAGCTCAATCAGCGTGATTGCACAGTGTGTCCAAATTAATAAGCAAAGACTTGGAATGTGAGGGGCAACTTGCAATTTGGTGTTTGTTTAGCTGTAGCTGCTTGAAAGAGGCAACAAATGCATCTCATTCATACACAAGCTCTTGTCTAATGCAATAACACTGCGCTCAGTTTTAATCTTAATTTAGAGGCCAAGGGCAAACATGTCTGCCATTGCTAAATATACTATGACTAAAAGCATTTTGATGATCACTGGCCTCCTTCATCGGAACAACCAAATTAGTGTAAGATTCAGTTGGATTGGGTGAATCATATTCTAGTGGCTTTTCTAGGAACGGATGCATTCACATATTCAAATTTAATATGCAGAATAAAATATTTTATTTATACAGTACTTTTCAAGATACTCACATACGCTTCAAAAGAGATCATTCAAATGCACCTAACCATATAACCTTGCATTCAGATGAGAAAAAGGGTTTCAAAAAAAGAACATGTTATTACTTTTGAGTGAAAAACTATTTTTGGTGCTCTGTTGGGAGAGCACATGATATCCAAATGTAAAATCTCAAGGCAAAACCAGATGAGAACCACTGCTCTACAGAATGTAAGTAGTTAAACGAATACAAATACTAATTATGACCACAGAGATGAAGTTAGAAAACAAATTCAAAGTTATCTATTATAGCCTACAAACCAAAATGCTGCAAAATCAGTTGTAACAAAAAGCATGACTGATAAATATATGATTACAAATTGCTAAGTGGAAGCGTATTTATGAATAAAATGATTTGGCCTTTTAAAGGGCATGTGATTACAATGGAATAAAGTACAAACGTGTCATTAAATCTCAGCTGTTTCAAATATCAGCTCATTTATGCAGTATGAAAATAAACCAAAAAACCCTCCACAAAACTATGTATACAAATCTTGCTTCAAGGACATATTTAGCCAATTTCACCAGCTCTAGTTTTTATAGATTAAATACTTGAACACTTTACAGATTTATGATTAAAATATGTAGTCAACATCACACTTTGTGTGTTAATATTAATAACCTGTCTTTAAACGGGACATTTATATTGTCAAAAGAAAGCCTTTTAAATGTATATATATAAAACGATTCCTAATTTGCAATGTCTTGCAGTCTCCAATCATAAAAAAGAAAGAAATCTCAGCAAAAGTACGAATACGGAACATGCGAGAATACATTTTCCTAAAATATTTACTCAGAGCCTAGGGTGCTATATAATAATGCATTATTCAAATATTCAAATTTGATGAGACTTTCTGGCACACAACAGACTTCTGTGGCCGCTTTCGTTTCTAACTAAACCATTACTGCCACCCAGTGTTCAATAGTAACATGTTCTGTCTGCATATACATAAGACTGTTCAGTCTGTTTCATCTACTAACATAGACATTAAATCCATTATTAAGGCTCTGTATTCTGTCTGTGTAGCAAAATGGCCTGTCACATGTCACTACGACTCTTTCAAATGAGACATTTCTGATTATAGCACTGAATAAGCTTTCGTATGCCTAAGAATAGCAACAAGAATTGGCACGGCTGCAAAAAGTCCTTCCTCCACGGCAGATATTCTTCCAGACTGACAAAGCTGACACACACATCACTCTCTCTGCATTATTCAATTAAGTCCATCCCTATCTTCACTAACATGCTTTTGATTCACTGCTGCCTCTCACAAAAATACGAGTTGTCAAAGCAGCAGGCTAGCGTACTATTATGCATGTCAGTCTTCAATCTCTGGAAGGTCAACTGTGTTGTTCTTGCGGCAGAAGGGAGGAAGGCAATCACAGTCATATCACATTCTCACCGAAGCGCTTTCTGCGTCTATAGGGATAGTGTTCATCTCCACCGGCTCGAGATAACACCTTTTATTGTGGCAGTGATGTCAAAAGAATGGCATCATTATGACTATAGAATAAAGACGGACTGCTCGTGGTAGAAGTGCATTGTTGTTGATTGATTCTGGTTCTCGGGGGCTTTTTAGACAGATTTGATACATGATGACCTGTAATGCAAAGGGTCGTCTGAAGAGATCAAGCATTTTGTGATGTACCCATGCAGTGTTATCTTATTTTACTCCCACGTTTTACATAATCAGATCTGATTAATTCCATGAGGAGTTCAGTGAAGTGATCGCGGACTTGAACTTTAAAGGGCTGGTTATGAGCAGACTGTTAGTTTGTGTCTCTCTCATAGTTATGAGTTTCATGGCACCTTCACTCAGATCTTTACTAATGTGACCTCTGTGAAAACAACACTCAAATGTCACACTTAACAATTATTAATATAACACAATATAGTGGCACCATAAATGGTTTGGAAATTTAAGACACACTTAAAGATGGACAAACATCTTATAGATAACTATATCAAACCAAAGGCATTAGTAAACAAACAGACCTAGTCTCAGAACTAACTGAATTTTAACCTTTAACTTTTCTGATCTTTTAGTTGATGTATAAAGTCAGTTCTCTTAAACATTTCTTTCCCCTCTGAAATGTATTGAAGCGTGATTTTTACCACATTTCTGTGAATGCCATTTGAAATTACATTTAGATTTTTTTTATTATTATTATTTGACAATATGTGGTTTAAGTGTTCAGAACCTTTTAGGAGCCACTGTTGCTTTTGGTGTCATTATGTAATATTGACTACATTTCATAAATACAGTAAATGACTAAAAATAAGTAATGACAAAATATTTATATAATAAATATATAAACATTTATATAAGCCGGTTTCCCCTTTTACAACTCTGAAAAACTGAATTGATTTTGCCATATTTTTATAAATGCCACTTGAAATTACTTTTTTCAATTTTTTTATGTTCAAACGTTTTTGGAGCCACTGTTGCCTTTCTCATAGTTAATATTCATAAATAATTATTAAATAAATTACAAAAAAACCCAATAATATTAAATAATAAAAATATGTAATTTTATATTGATTTTGTTTAGTAGATTTTATTTCAGAAATAAAAAAAATAACATACCAAATACTGTTGGTGTTTGTGTAACATTTGCTTATGTAGATTACAGCGTGCTCAAATAACCTTTCATAGAGTGAGTCCATGTGATCATTTAAATTGTCTAAACCAGTGAACCAAAGAGTGAACTAAAAAGAAAGAGGATGTGGAAACTGCACGGGACGGAGGGTAACTTACGGTCATTACACTGCGTCCCGGTGTAGGAGGTCATTGAACAGTCGCAGGTGTAGTTCTCCCATTGCTGGATGCAGATCCCCATGTTGGCACAGGAGTCTTCTTGGCATGTAGTGCTAGGACCTATGGTGGCAAAGCAGAGCAATGTAATACTGGGGGCAAATGTCCCGTCATGCTGTTAAGGTGCCATGCAGGTGTGTGTAACAGTACACATGCAGTTTAGGTTAGTAGAGGTACTCAAAAAACATCCCGAAAGCTGTTGAACAAACGTGGCATTCCCTATAACCGACTGGATTTTAGTAATAAACATCATACTCTAGACATATTCAACATGGCTTGTTACAGAAGTAGATTCAGACACGGGGCCAAGCATGAACTTTCTCACATCTGCACAGAGGAACAAAGGTCAATGACAACATTTAATAGCGAGATGTGTACACAGTCCAATAGGTACTATTGTTACAGATGTTAAGAACAATAGTGTGCACACCAGCCACGTGCAATCGAGTTGAGCGTGTTCCAAACACATCTTGTGTTCTGGCACACTTGGGTTCATTTTGAGGGAATGCAGCAAGAACAATAGAGCTCATTACCCAATTCAGAGCAAGAGGGTGAATGCATTCCCCCTGAATTAACCGTATAAACAAGATAATTGCAAATAAATTGGCTTTGAGTGCATTATTCTTGTGAAATACAACTGCGAAAACAAGAGGTTAACCACAAACATCAACTTTAGTTAAGGGGGAGAAAAGAAGGCTAAAAGCGCATTTACTGTGCAACGCAAAGTGCAACTTGAGTACTATGTAAAAGTTCAACATAAAATGATTCACCCCAATTTGTTGACTGTCAAAACTGCAGATAAGATTTTGAATGGAAAATCGGAGAGACTATACTTCAAGATAGTTCTCTGATTTTTCCATTCACATCATTCAGGCTTATAATAGTAGCACATTAACTTATTTTCATGGAATACGTCACATTATGTAAACTGGCCTTATTAAGACTTTTGATTTCTGGTTTAGGTTTCTGTACAGATTTACATACAGTAGTTAGTTCCAGTTCAGAAATTTGATTAGATAATAGTCATTTCAAGAGTGCCGATAAGGGTCATTCATATTATGCAGTACATTGTCATATTTCCATTATACAATACAGTTCAAAATTTTGGCATCAGTAAGATTTTTTATCTGTTTTTGAAGGAAGTCAATCATACAGTGAAAACAGTAATATTGTGAAATATTGTTACAATTTAAAATAACCATTTACTATTTTAATATATTTTGAAATGTAATTTATTCCTGTGATGGCAAAGCTGAATTTTCAGAATTATTACTCCCGTCTTCAGTGTCACATGAACAGAAATCATTATAATATGCATCTGATGCATGCTCAAGAAACATTTCTTATCATTATCAAAGTCTTATCATTATTTTTTTGTGTAAACAGTGCTACATTTTTCTCAAGATTCTTTAATAAAAGGTTCAAAAGAATAGTATTAAATTGAAAGAGAAATATTTTGTAACAATGTAAATGTACAGTATTTACTGTCACTTTTGATCAATTTAATGCATCCCCTTCTGAATAAAAGTATTAATTTCTTTAAAAAAAGAATTATTACTGAACTCAAAATTTTGAACGCCAGTGTACATATTAATGCACTGAATACAATATTAAATTTTGTTTAAATGTTTAAAAATGGAAATCATAATTAATTGTTTTATCACAGTATCACAGCAAAGTGAACCTGAGATCAAATACAATGGAAAATATAATAAAATGCCAATTTATGAGAACTTTTATTCAAGAAATTTCCCAGTTTTTCCCTTTCTATACTCAAAATGTTTTCAAGACAGCATTTCTTTGCCATTGTATAAATAGTTAAAGTGCTGAAATTGCAACACCAGTACATTCATTTTATTTATTTGTTTATTTTGATAAGTTGTATATGTACTGCATAACATGAATGACCTGCAACAATGAACGGAGTCGTATTGGGTCTAAAATGTTAGTGACTTCATATACATGATTTACCCTCAGCTGTGATGATATTCACTTCAACAGCAAGTAGGCTACTCTTATGTGTGATGTCGCTTAAATAATAAAGTGGAAAATCACATCTGTTTTGAGTTTTACGTGCTCTGTGGGATGCTATCTGAGTTTAAAGTTTACGGTAGCGTGCCGACATTTCCAGATGGATTTTCATGCTAATTCTATTAATTATTTTACTAATCATATTGCTGTTCAGTGCATTTAAAGACAAGCTAGAAGAAACCCATGGTGAGATACTTAATGGATTCTCCTAAGCCAGATTCCTCTCTCAGCTGAACGTCGTTAGTGTAAAAAAGCAACAAGACAAGATACAGCAAAACAGGACTGGGGACTTAGTTATAGAAGAGGGCTCATGTTTTATTAATGTAGACTCTCAGTTGCAATCATTACTTTTCTCTTCTCACTTTGCAAGTCTCATGACCTTCGGTAAAAACACAAGGGCATTTTCTTTTAGAAAGAAGTGAACCATTTTATACCAAGACATTGTTACAGTGAACCAGCTAGTGTCCGCTTTATGTCTGGGTATTGGGAAGAGTACAAAACAAACCGGCACAAGACAAAACAGCAGCTTTCAGCCGAGCTCAGAATGGAATTGAACCTTATATACCTTGTAGATCTGCTTTGGTGAAACCAACTTTGTTAAGCAAGAAACAGAAAAGCGAAAACAATCAAAGAGGTAAGAAAGTGGTCGATGGCTTCTGTTAATAAAGCAATGGCTTTACTAACAGGACATGCTTTACCATTCTTAGGAAGGGTTTGCACTCTTGAGTTACTGCACCATGGGTTAGAAATTATAATAATAGTCATGAAACTGATGGGTTGATTCAGCATGGCTGGGTTGAAAAAGGTGTAATGGCACTCAATGAAAGTAGCCTATTTAGTTGCTAAAAAAGCGCTACAAGTAAGTTAAAACTGGAGTTTGCTTATGAAATTGTGGCTGAAAAATGATCTAATTTACAGTTGAAATATATTCAGCCAATAAACATGCAGAAACATCAGGCTTTGCATATTCCATTCTAGTCCGCTGTTCTGACAGCAAAAATGTTAAAATGACTTTCAGTGCACAGTATGGCCGTGATAATGTGTTAATGCTAACGTAAAGCAACAGAAACGGCTAAGACTGTATAAAGCAAGCGGTTGGAGAGGGGACATTTTAATGATGTTGCGTTCTGTCAAAACAAAATGTTCCCCTGCATTACTGCAGCATGTAATCGAGCCCTCGCCTTCCTAAGCATAGGTGCATCATTGCCATCTGGTGGATGAAAAGCTTCATTGCAACAGAATGGCGCATTCATTGCCATTTGAACCAGCAAAGGATTCTGTTGCCATTGTGGAGCCATTCCATACACGGTTTACAGTTTTACTGTGCACAAACAGTACAGTACAGAGTGATGTGTCTTTCATGCTGGGCTGTGAACATAAAAACCTACTCACGTTCACTTTTGGATGCTGTGCCGGAGAGATAAACGTAAAACACACAAAGTTGTTCTATTCATGTATGAAATGAAGAATTGAATTCAAATGGTGTTGGGGGGTATGTCTCGGTTTATAAAATCCGACAACACACATCCTAAAGGTGTGTATTTAAGCACATCGGCTATCAGACGATCTGATGGTGGCCTGTGTCTTGAAAATATGTGGAATTATGTTAAAGATGAATATTATTTTCTTTGGATTTCACAATAGAGATTGTCACACTTGAAATAGGTCATATCCTGATTTACCATTCACACTGCTCATAATTTACCCAGGGTTAACAATTAATTCATAAGCTGACGTTTCTACATTCATAACCGGTTTGCCACATCTACAAAACAAAATCAGTCCAAACTGGTAAACAAACCTAGCCCAAGGCTTTTTTTTATTATTATTACATTTTTTTTTTACCAACGCTACCAACGTTTTTACCTTCGTCAGGAGTCCCCTCTGTCAAAATCACTTCAAAAAGGAGAGTAAAATAGCCCTATTGAGTGGAAAACAGTGAACTTGGCAACCCTGATTTCTAAATCACGGGTTCTCGCAACCTGTTTACACAACGGCTCTAGCATTGCTATTCTTCTTATTATTGCCGACTGTAACGTTACTATCAAGTTATTCCTGAATGGACTTTTCATTTTTGGGCTATAAAGGTAAAACTAAAACTCTCCTTCAACTCCAATTCAAATATTTTCCGTCAACATTTGACATTTTCCCCTTAAACGCTGAAACAACTGAACGCGCTAATTAGCTTCTAGCCATGAAAGGTAAAAACCGCAGCATCAGTTCACACTGTACTCCGTGTAAAGGCAGTGCTAACCCTGCCCCGGTGCACAGTTTCATAACCCCGGGTAAAAAGCTTTGCTAAGCCCATGAAACACCTTTATCCGGGGTTAAAAGCGAGGCTTAGAACGATGATAACCCAGGGTTAAGCGCAGTGTGAAAAGCCCTTGCATGTAGGGTCTGAAAACTTTAACAATAAGGGCAGCTATAAAAAGTTGTTGAAAAATCATCTTTATGGTTTGCAACACTGATATTGAAGAAGAAGAAAAAAAACACGTTTTGCATGTTTTAAATTGTGTACGCTTTGACAGTAAACCATTAATTAGTTCATTAGTAAATCTGTTAAAACCAGTGGTGTGTTCATAAACTAGTAGCCTTTTTTCTTTGGAAAACAATCCCAGACTTGTGTGTTTTTATCAAGCATGCTGACATTGACATTTCTCACTCACGCAATGAACTCGAGCAACAAAACGTGAAGATGATACAACAAAAGACCAAATGATTTAGATAGATAAGATTTTATTCTTGGTTCAACAACACGTAAACGTAACATGTATGATACTCAACATAAAGGGAGGCTTTTTGTTCAAGACAACATTGAGATGGGTGATGGAATTGTGACGGACAATTAATGTTGTAATGGATGGACAGGTCATATAAATGCTTGTACAGTTTTATGCAAACAAGACTATAACAAATCAAAAAAAGAACAAGAGAACACTGAGAACAAAAAAGTGAAAGGCCAAAAAAAAGAAAAGAAAGTAAAATAACCAACCAAACAAACAAGCAATATCAAGAAATCAAAGACATTAACATGCACTGAAATATGGCAGAGGTCTCATGTACATAAGAAAATGGGTATTAGCAATGAGTAAGTGAAGAAATATCCTTGTATGGATCTTAAATGATCTGTGTTCTGATCTTTTGGACATATTTGGCATTTAACATACAATCATTTGCTATGATTGAAGCTTTGATGCTGGTTATATGACCATAATAGCTGCAATATCATTTTACTGACACCTAGCTTCTGATAAAACGTCAAATTCTTACATAATCTGTATTTATAAATATTTTTGTAATTTTTAGATTTTTTTTTTCGACTTTTTATTCTAATCAGTCAAATGCACAGAGATGTAATTTTATCACAATATTCAAATGTTACGTTTATTTCACTCCCATCCAAAATATATATTCAAAGCAAAAATAATAATCACAAATACAGTAAAAACTATTAAATAAAACATATTTTTGAATATTATTACAATTAAAAATAACTTTAAATATATTTTAAATATTATTTCTGATATGGAAAAACTGAATTTTTAGCATTCATTACTCCAGTCTTCAGTGTCACATGACACTATCAATGTTGAAAACAGATGTGCTGGTCAATATTTTTGTGGAAACCATGATACATTTTCCTCCAGGATTCAGAAAATAATAGCATTTACTTACTTTTTACTGTCACTTTTGATTAATTGAATGCATCCCTGCTGAATAAAAGTATTACATTCTTAAATAAATAAAACCTTACTGAGCCCAAACTTTTGAATGGTGTACATATGTCACAACACATTTGTCATAATTACTTAATATCTGCCCATATTCTTGTTTTATTTTTAATGGTTTAAGGTCAAAACACATCAGATCAAATGCATAAAGTTCCATCTTGACTCAAAATACTGCAGTGTAAATATTCCCTCTGTAGGTCGGTTATTAAAAATGTCACTAATTCATACAAACAAAGACTTGGCTGATCCTAGTATGACCAATGTGGCCAATAAGAATATTAATACGCCAGTGGGCTCAACAGAGAGCTGACTGGGTGAGAGATGAGACAAGCAGGGTGAGAAAGATGGAGTGATGGCTCAGTGAGGTGGAGGTGGAACTACTGTTTGCATTCATGAGAAAGAACGGGCTCCTCGAGCTAGAGTTGTAAGAGGGTGTACCTTCGCATCCTCGCTCAATCTGACCGCTGCGGAACAAGGCATCATTTATGAGGTCGGGAAGGCGTCCGTTCAGGTCCACAGATGCCAGGCAACCCTTAAAACCATCCCTAGAGGCCACAAGTTTCGGCAGGCTGTTATACATGTTGGGCCCCAATCCGGCGATGTAAAGGTCACCTGAGCAGAATGCAGATACAATAGATGCCCAGGTAAACAAAGTAGTGATAAGACTGTGTGATAGGGGGCATGAGAATATATGAATTTTAGCTGGTTATGTACCTTTAAGGTCCAGATTTTTAGCGCCATTGATGCCTTGACTCACTGCCTTGGCATCGACTTTGAGTGTGTGGATGTTACTGTTGTCTCTAGTGATGACAACGTTATGCCACTGGTTGTCATGGAGAGCTCGGTCACTGTTGCCCTTGATTACATTGGGCCCGTTGCCAAGATCAAACACGTAATGTATGTACCTAAAAGACAGAAAAGTGAAGTTCAGTTTACAGGGAGAGTAGAAAGGCCATATCATATGCCATTCTAACTTTTAAGTTTTCTAAATATGTCAATTTGAGATATGCTCATCGTAGATAAATCAATTTTTACTCTCCACAAATCTTAAATGATACCAGAGATTAAACAATATCTTATTAAGTTGGCTTGAAAAAAGCTACAACCACCAAACTCGGGTCAGACCTTCAGACTGGTCTGACTCTGGTTGCTATATCTATTCTAACTGATCCGGCTTACGGTTTTCGTAAACCAGACTATCAAAACCACCTAAAATCCCATAGACTTTCATTGAGGGGGTGAAAACTTTTATACAACAATACTTATGTTGTATGTAAAGGAACACTCCACTATTTTTGAAAATAGGCTAATTTTCCAACTCTCCTAGAGTTAAACAGTTTAGTTTTACCGTTTTCGAATCCATTCAGCCGATCTCCGGGTCTGGCGGTAGCACTTTTAGCTTAGCTTAGCATAGATCATTGAATCTGATTAAACCGTTAGCATCTCACTCAAAAATGACCAAAGAGTTTCTATATTTTTCCTATTTAAAACTGAGTCTTCTGTAGATACATTGTGTACTAAGACAGACAGAAAATGAAAAGTTGTGATTTTATAGGCCGATATAGCTAGGAACTATACTCTCATTCCGGCGTAATAATCAAGGAACTTTGCTGCCATACCATGGGTGCAGCAGGTGCAATGATATTACGCAGCGCCTGAAAATAGGCTTATTGGAAGTTACCTAGCTGGGACTATTTTCAGGCGTATCACTGTGTAATATCAAAATAAGCCTATTTTCAAAAATAGTGGAGTGTTCCTTTAAGCGGTCTATTACTATAGCAAAGCTTAACAACTCCCTACTGAAAAAAAACAGCTAAAACCAGCCTAAGCTGATTGACTGCTTTGGCTGGTCTCCCAAGCTGGTTTTAAAGTGGTTTTTGGCCACTTTTTTTAGCAGGTTAGGCTGGTCTCAGCTGGTTTTTAGCTGTTTTTTTACGGAATCAACTGGTTTTAGCTGGATTACCATAGAAACATGCTAGTAACTTGTTAATCATGTTAGCAACATGTTAGGCACTTGCTAATCATACTGGAAACATGCTAGAGACATGCTAGTCACTTGCTAATCATGCTAACAACATGCTAGTTACTTGCTAATCATGCTATCAACATGTTAGTAACTTACTAATCATGTTAGCAACATGCTAGAAACATGTAATCAACATGTTATTTGCTAATCATGCTAACGACATGCTAATCATTTGCTAATCATGCTATCAAAATGCTAGTCATTTGCTAATAATGCTAACAACATGCTAGAAACTTGTTAACGACATGCTAGTGACTTGCTAATCATGCTATCAACATGCTAGTTACTTGTTAAACATGCTGGAAACATCCTTGTCACTTGTTAAACATGGTGGAAACATGCTAGCGACAAGCTAGTAACATGTTAATCATGCTAATGACATGTTAGTCATTTGCTAGTCATGCTAGCAACATGCTATTCACTTGCTAATCATGATAACAACATGCTAGCGAAATGCTAGTCACTTGCTAATAATGTTAACAACATGCTAGAAACTTGTTAACGACATGCTAGTGACTTGCTAATCATGCTATCAACATGCTAGTTACTTGTTAAACATGCTGGAAACATCCTTGTCACTTGTTAAACATGGTGGAAACATGCTAGCGACAAGCTAGTAACATGTTAATCATGCTAATGACATGTTAGTCATTTGCTAGTCATGCTAGCAACATGCTATTCCCTTGCTAGTCATGCTAGCAATATGCTAGTTACTTGCTAATCATGCTAGCAACATGCTAATAACATGTAAAAAATGCTAACGACATGCTAGTAACTTTGTTAATCATGCTAATCACATGCTAATCACTTGTTAGTCATGCTAGCAACATGTTAGTCACTTGCTAATCATGTTAACAACCTGTTAACGACATGCTAATCACTTGTTAGTCATGCTAGCAACATGTTAGTCACTTGCTAATCATGTTAACAACCTGCTAACGTCATTCTAGTCACTTGTTAATAATGCTAACAACATGATAGTCACTTGCTAATCATGCTAATTACATGCTAATCACTTGCTAGTCATGTTAACAACATGGTAGTCACTTGCTAATCATGCTAACAACCTGCTAGCGACATGCTAGTCACTTGTTAATCATGCAAGCAAAATGCTAGAAACATGTTAATGACGTGCTAGTCACATACTAGTCATGCTAGCAACATGCTAGTCACTTGCAAATCATGCTAACAACATGCTAGTAACTTGCTAATCTTGCTAACGTCATGCTAGTAATTTTGCTAATCATACTAACGACGTGCTAGTCACTTACTAGTCATGTTAGCAACATACTAATGAAATGCTAGTAACTTGCTAATCATGCTAGCAACATGCTAGTTACTTGATAATAATGCCATCAACATGCTAGCAACATGTTAATAATGTTAACAACATGATAGCAACTTGTTAATCATGATAGCAACATGCTACTAACTTGCTAATCATGCTAACGACATGCTAGTCACTTGCTAGTTATTTGTTAATCATACTAGCAACATGCTAGTCACCTACTAATCATGCTAGAAAAATGCTAATGACATGCTAGTCACTTGCTAATCATGCTAGCAACATGCTAGTTACTTGCTAATAATGCCAGCAACATGCTAGTGACTTGCTAATCATGCTAGCAACATGCAAGATTAATATTTCTTTATCTATTTATCTATCTATTTTTCTGATAGATTGTATTGTCTTCAAAGCTTTAACACTACTTCAAATTAGTTAAAACTGAAAACCCTCAAACTTTAAGCTTTTAAAACTACTTCAAACTTTCTGGTTAGGCTTTTTCAAGCCAACTTAGTTTGTCTACAAACTTTACTATCTAGTTATCATTGATACAAATTTTTCGAATATACAGAAACCATTTTAAATAATTTTTTTATTTTTGACCCAATAATAGATAAATATTTTGACTACAACAACACATGCATTGTGAATATTATTACAATTATTGTTATGTATGACATTATATTTATGTGAAATTACTTTGTGCTGTAAATGATTGCAAATATCCAGTATTTTACCTTTGTTTTGAGCTGACTTATTTAAACACATTAAATAAGTTCCTTTTCCTGTGAATACTGTTCTGGCCTACTAAATGACGTAATTGCTCTGTAGACTCTAAATTAATTTAACTTAAATTAAATTAAATTACCGATTATCGATAATTAAATTATTGGTCTATCTCCAAGCACAAACAATAAATAAATAAAAACCTTGAGATTTTATTAGTTTTTTTTTACACTGGTTCTTTCTTTCAGGCCTACTTTTATCCAAACAATATATTAAATAAGTTACTTTACTTGTGAATACCGTTTTAGCCCACTAAATTATGTAATTTTTCTGGCTTCAATATTAAAGAACCGATTATTGTGTTAAAAAAAGTGTAAATATCAGTCAAAAATTTTAGACAAACCAATTATCGTTCTATATCTAGATGCCAAAAAAAAAACTGAAATTACCTGAAATTTTCTTTCCTTCCAAACATTCTTACAAAACAAGGCAGAATATATGGTTCTGCTTAAAGACTTCTGGTTTACTTGCCTCAATTACTCTATGCTGATAAGATTCAATCCCTAAAACGCCAGATGCCACGGTTTAATCTAGCAGCCCCATAAGTGTTACCTAAAGCAGCTTGTTAACTTTGTAAACACTTATACCGGCAAGATAAAAAAACAAAATAAAGTGGCCATTTCTTCAAAAGGCTTACCCTTTCACCAGCTCTACAGCGATGAAATCACTTCCATCCCCGCTGTTGAAGAGGATGAATCCATCTGGAGAGGTTGTCTTGAACTGGAAGAAAAGGTGCATGGATGTGTAAGCCTGCAAGGTTGCTAGACTCAGGTAACTGCTCTTTGACTTGAACGTCACGGGGTCTGCGATGATGGAGCGCATGCCAAAGCGAGCGTTGAGCTCGCAGTAGTCGATATCACCGTTCTTGCACAGGTCGATGTAGAGCATGCCATTGAACTTGAGGCTTTGCAGGTGACCGATGAAACTGGAGGGGATCATGGAGACGAAACGGCGCTCTGTCATCACACCCGTCTCGATGTTGTGAAACTCTAACCGGGTGTGATCGCCCACCATCTGACCTACAAACCACAGCAGGTTGGAAAGGAAAACAAGAAAAAAGATGCTGCTATACTACACCCTCAAACAATATTACACTGCTGTACAGGCATAAAAATGCTACCATACACCAAAACCCTGAGTCAGACTCTCCAACTACTAGGTACACAGAGCGACTTCTACATAATGTCAGTGTAGCAATAACCATGCTGTATTATTGCTGTAAAACACTAAAGTAGTGTTGGAATGAGAACAACTGACGAAACATTGTAAATGATGTTTCCCACAATTTATCAAAACCACACAATCTGTATCTAAAAAATAGAACTAGTAACTCTGAAAACGTTACCATACTTATTTCCGCAGTTTACTGCAGCTCAAATAAAATAACGCATCAAGAATTGTGTTGTCTTTCAGGGTAGTACCTTCTGCTACGTCATCGTCAACCGTTAGCTTGTAGCTTTTGCCCCTCCGGATCACGCGCACAGTATGCCATTCATTATCATTGAGTTTTTGTCCAGCATACAGTGTCTCTGGTCCTTTGCCTGAGAACGACGGTCATGAAACGTTAATGCCAACCTGAGTTGTCTCTGACCAAATCTTTGCTTTCGATGAGAAAAAGTGTAAACTTTTTTGTTGCTTTAAATTTGATGCTAACTATGTGGCAAATCAGGTTAAATTGACTATTTTTTTCGAGTTGAGATGATTAACACAATAGAGAAAGCAGAGGTTTGGTGCAGATGTTTTTGAATATTACATAAAAACATAAGCTTTAACAAAAAACTAAAATTGTTAGCCAATTTTGTTTCCTCTGTTTTTTTCACAAGAATCACTTCAAAACATAATCCTTAGATTATAAAATGGCTTTTACTCATAAAAGGTCTTGATACACCACTCAAGGACAAAGTTCTTTGTTATCCTAGTTGTGAATATGTTTCACAGCATGAGTTTGGGACAGGGCTGGAGTATATGCTTGTCCAAACCATTGGCAGAAAGGAGTGTAATATGGGAAACTTGATTGAAAAGTCAATCTTTTTGCAATTTCGTTTGGTAACACGAGTGATACAGAAATCAAATGCTTCACCTTTAAAATCAGAATTGGAGTTCGGAATCGGATTCTATATGATGCAGTACATTTGAGGAGTTAAGTAGTCACAGAGGAGAGCAGTGAGGTGTTTTGGATTCAGCTCAGAGCGTGCTATGAAATCTCTCAAAATCTCTTGGCTCTTGGGAAATTGTGTTATGTACCTACCAGCAGGCAGTTATCGGTAGTTCCTGAGAAAGAATATTATCTTCCACCCTCTTCAGCACTGACATGAATGTGTTTTGACCGACATGAAGCTCACAATCTGCCATCACTGACATTGTTCAGACAGTTTATCATTAGATCATTCCTACACCGATGCAAAAATAATACCTAGTGCACTGTAGCCTACTGAATAATTGCAACTTAGATTTGATTCTGAACATTGTCCTTTTCAGAATTTCAAAACATAATAACTAAGCAGAACAACTATTAAAGGCCATACAGGCAATTATCGTATTTTGAAAAATCTATAAAATTAATAAAAATTATCGTCTCCGGCACAGATTCCACTGCTGTATAAATTTAATAATCTTAGAGCTTTTTAAAATGCAGGTCTCGTAACAGGAGCTTAAGAACTAATAGCTCTGATAAGCACATCATTATAATTAGTGGCATTATATTAATCTGAGTGATAGAAAGTGTGAACTGGTGCAGGTAAAGGGATGAGACTAATCTAGCATGATGTGAGTGTTTGCTACTTGATCAGAATGACTGATGGAGGCGTAGTTGTGGGTTACTGGTTTACTTGGTACATTTCCAGCAGGGCCAGGCTCTCTAGTACATCACCAACACTCATCATTTGGCACAAAAGCTTTTTATCTAAAGTAACTTACAGTCATTGTAAGAATAGCCACATGGAATCCAGCCTGCAACCTTTCTAATATCAGACCACTGTAAGGACAGTATTTAAACAGTCACATTATAAACAACATACAAAACCACTCTAACACCGTGTCCTACCTACACACGACGCGACAAGATTCCAGTGACAAGCAATTTGGGTGTCAACACTAGACACGACACAACAGAATCAATCAAATATCACAGCCAATCAGAAGCGTGTGTGGGTGGGCTCTCTCTGGAAGCGCTCTGCACTCACAATAGAAATGGATAACTTTATAATCGAATTCATAAATATTAAACCTTTTTAACATTATTAAATGTACATACTGTGACCGATTCATCATGAGTTCACAGTTTTAACATACATCTTTGCTTTTATTTATTTTCAAGATCTGAAGTAAACTATCTGTTGTTGCTTAAAGTATGGCTATAAATGCCATGCAATATGACATTCAAACTCACATTAAAAACGTTTAACTTTGAATAAAGCACATAATCAGTACCTGAGATTATCACTGTCATATAGTTTGTATGTTGCTGCTCAAGCCGAGGAGTCGCAGAAATAGAAACCATTTCTAAAATAGAAATTTTGCGTGTTGCCATCACAGCTAGTTAGGACAAAATTTATATTATTGTGTGTTGCGGCATCGCATTGCGTGTAGTTAGGACACGTGACACACAACTATTGCATGCAGATATCAAGATCCATACGGCGTGCAAGCCATTTATAGAGTCATTATTCAAACATAAATAGCCAAAATAAGACAACTACAATTAGACATTCTTACCTTTCAAAGTGGGGAAAATCAGTTAGTTCATAGTGGTTTTATTTGTTTAATATATATATATATATATATATATATATATATATATATATATATATATATTTCTTTAATATATCACCTTTATAGTTTATATCAATCAAAACATTGCCATTGAGAGAATTCAAGACCTATTTTTGAGTAAAAGCAGTGTTTTCGACAAAACTGTACAAATGTTTTCTTTACTAACAGTATAATAGTACAAAAAATTAAGTAACTAAATGGCATAGTATTGAACAAAGTCATTTCTATATTTCTTAGAAGGAAAATTCCAAGAACTTCAGGTAACAACTGAACTGAATGTGTGTCTTTAGCATAATCTTTGTTTTAAGAATTTTGTATTACGCCATACATTAATGAGCTTAAAATTAATTGCAGTAGTTTGACTTAACATACAACCAACCCAGCAAACATACAAACCAACAAACAGAAACATGACAAAACCATATTGCATCATATCATAAGAATATGCTGAAATTAGATGCCATTATAAAAATTTAACATTAGTGATTTTATGTTCTCTGTATGCAAATGTATTACAATTTATTTTTAGGAAAAAAGTTGATATGTGGTGACTTTAAATGCTGTATAAACTGTAGTTACTGCAACATGAAAATATGGCAAACCTGTCTCAATCCTATTGTCTAAATACAATAATTTAACATAACATGTATTTCTGCATGCACAATAATATTTCATATTAATGCATGCACTACTTTAAACTTAAATACTGCATTCCTTACTAAAGGCAGTAAAAACAAAGTAGTTTAAAAGATACCATACAAATTAAGACCTTTCTATAAAAGATGCTGATAGGGTAGGAAATAGATTGACATGACAGCTAAATTACAGGCCATCAAAAAACAAGCCACGATTATTAAGTCACCACCAGTTATAATTGTGGTAATCGTGACTGCAGAGATGCATCAGATCTTTTCACTAGATGCAAACTCTCCTTGACTAAATGGAGGAAAAGGCACAAGACTTAAGACATTCTTTTCAACAAGAGAATCATTAGGAGCAAAATGAAACTTGAGTGTTAACTTACTGGAGTTACAGTTTATCCTGATACAGTCTAGATGGGGGAAAATAAGTGACAGATGAAATTGCATCCTTCAAGGTTACAGCTGCAGACATCCAAAAACAATAATTCCACCCTTCCGGGGACGTCCACATGCAAAGAGGCGGCCATTTTTTTATCATTGTTAATGAAAGCATTATAATTTCATGAAAAGTCACTGGATTAACTGCAACTGTCAAAGAATTAGATATAATGTCTATGAATAAAATACTTTTTATGATTATTTTGCTGCTAAAAACAAATAATTGCCTTGTAAGCAGTGTTTATTTTATAAAATTATAAAATGGCCACTTGGAGCTCACCAACCACAAAGACTATTCAACCCAGAGCGTTATTTTATTTTATTAAAATTATGACCTATCTAAGGTCCTGCCCCATAGAAATCACACCAGCTCATTAGCTAAATATGCTTTAATAGCTTAAATACATTTAGCAAGAAGTTGGTGTTAGGGCATTTTTCTTGAATACTGATCTGGAATATAATGATTTCAATCTCGCCTTCTCATTTTGATGGCATCATGCTCTGGGTTGGGCTCTGTGTGGCTGGATTTACCATGTGTCGTCAACCGCAACAGAAAAGTGGGAGCAAACAGCCTCGATCCAATAAGCACCAGCACCATGCAGTGGCCTCTGTTCCTCCAGCTAGATCTTCCTGAGATCTGACCACTCAAATGAGCCCTTAATATACTACAATCTCTAACATATTAATAATTGTTTGTAAACGTATAGCTGTAGAGGTCTGCGTTGTCCTAAAAGTAAAATAACCTCGTATTTTGCAAACTAGGGCAGTCCGGAGCGTACGTCTAATGATATACATATGTATTCAGTTGTGTTTATGTCTGACAGTCTGTCAAATCATTCCAGATGATTTCTCTGTGTATGCAGTCATAAGACATTGTCTCTTTCAGTATGTTTACAGTGTGTGGGCTATGTTTGTCTCTACTATGGTTGAGCTGTCACAGACAATCAGTCCTACTGTCAAACCTCAGGCTGTTTCCTGCAGTGAGGTGTGAGTTGTGTCACTTCCTTTAATGATGACACTGTGACTTAAATGACCAGTTAGGGTCTCTCATCTCTCGTGTAAAGGTAATGGTGTCGGATTGAGGATTGAGAGGTGCTACCAGCTGCAGGTGAAGCTGAGAGCTCTGTTCTCGGGCTGTTTGCCGACCGGGCCGCAGGCTAAGGGCCTTTGAAGGGGTGAATACCATCTTTTGACAAAGCATGGAGAATGTGTGACAAGAGAACTGGACAGGGAGGGAGAGGTGACGGTGTTAAAAGGAAGTGATGTAACAGAAAGGAAATACCAACAAAGCACAAATGTGGTACGAATGGAACCATCTGAGACGGAACATGAGGTTTGTCAGAGAAGAGTTACTGAAGACATTGCCAAATAGAAAAGATGACAGGAATTAATGTTAAGTTGACAATCAGAAAGTCACAACACTTGGATTGTAATCATAAAATGGAATTACCATCATTTCAAAAGTCGACATTAAATAAAAAATGCTATGCTATTATGCAGTGCTGTGACTGTCTCAAAGGAGTTTTTGTCTGGACTATGACAATGATCATGGTTAATATATTTTAAAAAATTCACCAAACATTGTGTCCGTTAGGCCTGGGCAGTATGGTGGTACTATATGTGTGACAGAAATTTAGAAATTTTGCAATAACTTTATACCGCAATAGACACATCCGCTATGAAATAAGTGGGTAATTTACAGTTGAGACAAATGGAGAAATTTGAAGTAATTTGTAGTAGCATGTCCCAAAAGACGCAAAATATAAAATTTTATAGATTACTTGTCTATGGCTAAATCAATAAAGAATTCAAATGATGTGCAATTATAATGTGAGCTTATTTAAAGGGGTCATATGACGATGCTAAAAATAACATTATTTTGTGTATTTGGTGTAATGCAATGTGTTTACGCGGTTTAAGATTCAATAAACACATTATTTTCCATATTACTGTTGCTCCTCTCTGCCCCGCCTTTCTGAAACGCGTTGACGTTTTCAAAGCTCATCGATCTGAAAAGCGCGGTGTGCTCTGATTGGCCAGCTATCCAGTGCGTTGTGATTGGCCGAATACCTCAAGCATGTGACAGAAATGTCAAATCCCTTACCATATTTGGAAACACACAGCATCTCCATGACATGGCGGCGGCAACAGTACTACAGCGAGAATAAAAGTTACGTCTTCTTTCTTTGCGTATACATTTGGGTAGTGTTATGCAAATCTTCCAACACAGTCATGTAAATTTGTGGGGGCATGTTTGAGGCATTTTAGGAAGGAGTGGTTGAGTCTTAACTTTTAGAAAGAATATCTCTTTGGGTTTGAGACTTTAATCTTTGCAACTTTACGGATCTTATCTATGCACAAACAGCTTCTAACACTCCAAAGAGAAAGGAAAACATGAAATTGTGTCATATGACCCCTTTAATCAGAATTTATAGTTGAAAGTATGTGTTATATATATTATAATTGCATTAGATTTCATTACAGTATTTCATGTTTTTACCTGAATGATATGTGACCCTGGACCACAAAACCAGTCATAAGGGTCAATTTTTCGAAATTGAGATTTATACATCATCTCAAAGCTGAATAAATAAGCTTTCCATTGATGTATGGTTTTGTTAGGCTAGGACAATATTTGGACGAGATACAACTATTTGAAAATCTGGAATCTGAGGGTGCAAAAAAAATAAAAATATTGAGAAAATAGCCTTTAAAATTGTCCAAATTAAGTTCTTAGCAATGCATATTACCAATCAAAAATTAAGTTTTAATATATTTACATTAGGAAATTTACAAAATATCTTCATGGAACATGATCTTTACTTAATATCCTAATGATTTTTGGCATAAAAGAAAAATCTGTAATTTTGACCCATACAATGTTTTTTTGGCTATTGCTACAAATATACCCCAGCGACTTAAGACTGGTTTTGTGGTCCAGGGTCACATATTATGCAGCTAATGCTCCTCATACTCCTTCGGTTGTTATAAACAAACGTATCTTTTGATTTGCATCCATGAAGTTCATAATAAAATTATAAAGTACTATTTTTGAACTTTCCATATACAGTATATAACTATATTGTGATATATAATATTATATTACTTGTACAGTGATATAATATCATACCACCCATCCCTAACATCAATTAGTAGCCAAAATTTTTATTTACCGTCAATTACTTTATTAAGAAAACAATTCAAAGACTTTAATCTTTGCAACTTTACGGATCTTATCTATGCACAAACAGCTTCTAACACTCCAAAGAGAAAGGAAAACATGAAATTGTGTCATATGACCCCTTTAATCAGAATTTATAGTTGAAAGTATGTGTTATATATATTATAATTGCATTAGATTTCATTACAGTATTTCATGTTTTTACCTGAATGATATGTGACCCTGGACCACAAAACCAGTCATAAGGGTCAATTTTTCGAAATTGAGATTTATACATCATCTCAAAGCTGAATAAATAAGCTTTCCATTGATGTATGGTTTTGTTAGGCTAGGACAATATTTGGACGAGATACAACTATTTGAAAATCTGGAATCTGAGGGTGCAAAAAAAATAAAAATATTGAGAAAATAGCCTTTAAAATTGTCCAAATTAAGTTCTTAGCAATGCATATTACCAATCAAAAATTAAGTTTTAATATATTTACATTAGGAAATTTACAAAATATCTTCATGGAACATGATCTTTACTTAATATCCTAATGATTTTTGGCATAAAAGAAAAATCTGTAATTTTGACCCATACAATGTTTTTTTGGCTATTGCTACAAATATACCCCAGCGACTTAAGACTGGTTTTGTGGTCCAGGGTCACATATTATGCAGCTAATGCTCCTCATACTCCTTCGGTTGTTATAAACAAACGTATCTTTTGATTTGCATCCATGAAGTTCATAATAAAAGTATAAAGTACTATTTTTGAACTTTCCATATACAGTATATAACTATATTGTGATATATAATATTATATTACTTGTACAGTGATATAATATCATACCACCCATCCCTAACATCAATTAGTAGCCAAAATTTTTATTTACCGTCAATTACTTTATTAAGAAAACAATTCAAACTGAACTCAATCAAATGTCTGGTGAACCATGCAAATAAAGAAAAACAATAAAACAACATCTTAATATATCTTATTAATGAATGTAATGATGATGGAGGCAGGGGAGGGTGGGGCTGGAATGATGGACAGATAGGAAGAGAGAGACATTTTTTTTTTAATCCTGAGGTTTTATACAATACCTAAGTTGACCGTGAGTTTGACGCGACTGCCGTCCAGCTCTAGCCTAAGAGTATCGGCAGAGTCGCGTGAGGTGGTGGCCATGAGCAGGCCGTACGCCCGCTGAGACATGAAGCGAAGGGACACGTCCTCCGCTTCAGTGTGCATCACGGTAGGCATCACCACTTTCATGTACATGCTCCCGTCATAGCTCAAGATGGACGCCTCTGTGGACAAAAGAACACAAGATTTAGACAAGTTATAACTAAAAAAAAACTTTGCCATGTCAAATATCAAATTGTGTCCCTAAAAAATCCTAAAACATTACAACACAACATAAACCAACTGTCTGCACGTTCAAGACGATGGCCTGCAAAAATTAAAATCATCTTCTTGAGGAAATGCATGACTAAAACAATGCACACTGAGTTAACACAATCTGCACAAGCCTCCCACAAGTTTCTATTAACTGGCTCAACAGGTAAATGAACAGATCTCTCCTGCCATGGGAAATGTTGAAGACATCTGCACTTTTCAGCAAGCTGTCTCACAGATGGGCACACTGCTAGGATGGGACTGATGGATGTGGCGATGCCCTTTCTCCCCAGCCTCAGCCCCTGACTGTCATTCAACATCATTCAAAGAAAGACATAAATCACAGCTAGGGTTTTTATAGAAGAAATTGAGGCCACATAAAATCTCACTTCAAGCTAAACATTTTTGAAAAAATTCTGCAGCACAAGATATTTATCTTTTGTTACAATAGTCAATGAAGGTCAAAATAAGTTTGCTTCAGACAGATAAAATAATATAATACTACCATTTAGATATTTTTTCTTAATAGAAATTCATGCTTTTATTCAGAAAGGGCGCATTAAACTGTTAAGAAGTGACAGTAAAGACTTTTCATAATGTTACATAAGACTTCTCTTTCCAAAAAAATCTGTTCAATCTCAACTCAAAGAATCCTGAAAAAAAATTTGTATCATGTTTCAACAGAATATTAAGCAGCACAACCATTATCAACATTGATAATACTAAGATATGTTTCTTGATCACCAAATCAACATCATAGAAGGATCATGTGACACTGAAAACTGGAGTAATGATGCTGACAATTTAGCTTTGTCATCACAGGTATAAATTACATATTTAAAATATATGCAAAAATAAAACAGTTATTTAAAATTGTATAATACTAATATTTTACAAGATTCTTTTTTTAATTGTATTTTTGATTAAATAAATGCATCCTTGAGTATAAAAGACTTTTTAAATAAGGTTGGGTGATAAATCAGACATGACCGATTGTATAATACTAATATTACTATAATACTAATTATAATACTAGTTGTATAATACTAATATTTCACAATATTAGTTTTTATTGAATTTTTGATAAAAAAAATACATGCATCCTTGTTGAGTATAAGACTTATTTCAAAAAACAGTATTTGTAAAAATATAACAATAAAAATTAAATTAAATTGCAGACATTCATATTCAGACAAGATTAGATTTCTCAGAAAAGGGTCTGAAATGAAAGCTGGGCAATCTGATGTAATAATGAGAAACTTTCTCGAAATAATGACTTATTTTCTCAAAATAATGAGAAACTGTCTCGAAATAATGGCTTATTTTCTTGAAATAATGACAAACTTTCTCGAAATAATGAGAAACTTTCTCAAAATAATGAGAAACTTTCTTGAAATAATGAGAAACTTTCTCGAAATAATGAGAAACTTTCTCGAAATAATGGCTTATTTTCTTGAAATAATGAGAAACATTCTCAAAATAATGACTTTTCTCATAATAATGAGAAACCTCCTCGAAATAATGAGAAACTTTCTCGAAATAATGAGAAACTTTCTCGAAATAATGGCTTATTTTCTTGAAATAATGAGAAACTTTCTCTAAACAATGAGAAACTTTCTTGAAATAATGAGAAACTTTCTCATAATAATGAGAAACTTTCTCGAAATAATGGCTTATTTTCTTGAAATAATGAGAAACTTTCTCAAAATAATGACTTATTTTCTCAAAATAATGAGAAACTTTCTCGAAATAATGGTTTATTTTCTTGAAATAATGAGAAACTTTCTCAAAATAATGACTTTTCTAATAATAATGAGAAACCTCGAAATAATGAGAATCTTTATCGAAATAATGAGAAACTTTCTCGAAATAATGGCTTATTTTTAGGGATGCACCGATATGAAAATTTTGGCCGATACGATAACCGATAACCGATTATTCTTTATTTTTGAAAGCCGATAACCGATATGTTGGCCGATAAATCTATATCCAAATTGTTATATACTTTTTGAGAGCCTGATTACAAAAAAGGTCTCATCATTAAAAGCCACATCCCAAACACTTCAACATAAGCAGCCTAGTTTGAACGGTGTACGTTTTAAAAATATTTTTACTCTCCCATTACCAAATTTAGTCATAAAAAAGTCTTACAAATAAATAAAATAATGCATAAATAATGCAAACAAGTCACTGGACATCATTACACGTGTAAAGAATCAAAATGAATGCGCCATAGATCAATAAAACGGAATAGCCTCTGCACGGACAATAATTAAATGATTTTAATTACTAAACCATACTGTTGATGAAAATAATAAGAGAACAATACAAGTGGTTGTTGTTATTAATAATATATCAATGATTTTGAAAAAGTAACAAATTAATAATGAGAAACTTTCTCGAAATAATGAGAAACTTTCTTGAAATAATGAGAATCTTTATCGAAATAATGAGAAACTATCTCGAAATAATGTCTTATTTTCTTGAAATAATGAGAAACTTTCTTGAAATAATGAGAAACTTTCTCGAAATAATGGCTTATTTTCTTGAAATAATGAGAAACTTTCTCGACATGAGAAACTTTCTCAAAATAATGAGAAACTTTCTCAAAATAATGAGAAACTTTCTCGAAATAATGAGAAACTTTCTCATAATAATGAGAAACTTTCTCGAAATAATGGCTTATTTTCTTGAAATAATGAGAAACTCTCGAAATAATTACTTATTTTCTCGAAATAATGACTTTTCTCATAATAATGAGAAACTTTCTCTAAATAATTACTTATTTTCTTGAACGGTCAATTTTCTTAAAAAAGGTTGTGTGACAAAACACAAACACTCTTAAAGAGGGGCACAAAAGCATCTGTTTTATAGAATTACCCATCAAACTCTAGAGTATTGTTTGGATCGTTTTTTTAAGTGTACAAAAGTTTTAATGAACAATAACTACTCTAAACAACAGATAATCTGTAATTTCACTGTGCAGCCAAAATCATGGTGCATCTGGTATTGTTTGATTGATTGAATTGTATTGATTGAATTTGAAATGTTCCTCACAATGTTAAAACCAAACCTATGAACCTTCATCTAATAATGGATACATTTTGAGTGGCTCGATTACAGTATCTGCTGACAATAATTCTGTCTCAGATAACTTTATTAAAAATATAGTAGACTTTAATAAATCATAAAATGCTAATACAATGATCACACATTTCAAGAGAATATCAACAACAGACGCTCATTTAATCCTGAGCTGTGAAAACTCCATCCTGAACACATGCATCCTAAATATCGATGCATAGAAACCGCTGACAAACTCTACAATTACACAGTGATCAATATGTTATTATGTGCGATTAGTTGCTTTTCAATCCTCCCTGGGGCCCCCGCCAATTTTAATTTTACACCCGGCAAACTAAGTAGAGAGTGGGAGAGAGAAATCGAGGTCGTGCTGCCATCAGTGAAGACAGCGAGAAGAGAAACAGATAAGTGGGACTAACCTCTAGACAGTATCTGACGATTAACTGAGTGAAAGCAAATCAAAATGATTTTGTATCAATGTTATTGAGCAGCGGGCTGATGCGAGTGGACAGAAATATGCCGTGGAGGATGTGACAAGAGTGACAGGGGAATAAGAGATCTTCACAGGGTGGCAGTGTTTCTCAATAAGGGGCCGATGTTACACAACAGCATCCGGCAGCCATCTTGAGAGACTCGCTTATGAAATTTGATACACTGCTGTTTCCTCTCAAAGCATCTCATTAATCCATCTCAGGACACGCGAGGGACACTCATTCACTGTATTTACCTGTAAAACGTGGCCATCTTTCTCTCTTTTAGATTTGTAGGCTAGGATAATTAATGCAGATCATGTGGCTGTATAAAAATGCGGTGCACATCTGACATTTTGGTATATTAATTAAGCCCTGCTTTTGTTTTCCTGTGTAAATAATGAACACAGAACTTATTCAATCACATGCCCGAATGAAACACGGTTCATGAAAGTCAAATGAGCTGCAAAAAGCATTACTCATGGGAGAGGCTAATTCAATAAATAAAGGGCTTTAACTGACATTAACTGACATTCCATCTTACTAATTGATGAGTGAATAGATGGAATGTTTAATCAGAATTGTTTTTTTTGTCTCTGTGCTGCATCTGAAGGGGGTATGCAAGTCAGATTTCAAGCAGTGTCCTGCAGTATGACATTCTATACATGCTATACTACAGAATTATTATAGATGCTGTTTTTACTTCATATTTTTTTGAGAGGCAAAACAAAAATCACTTGTTACACTGCAGGACTATTTACTATGGAAGCCCGTTTCCGCGGTTGAGAAAATAAAAAGTTATTTCTTTAAGTCATAATAATGAGAAAGTTTCTCATAATTATGACTTAGGTTCTCAATATAATAAGATACCTTCTCGAAATAATGACTTATTTTCTTGAAACAATGAGAAACATTCTCGAAATATTGAGAAACTTTCTCGAAATAATGACTTATTTTCTCTAAATATTGAGAAACTTTCTCGAAATAGAGAAACTTTCTCAAAATAATGATTTATTTTCTCGAAATAATGACTTCTTTTCTCAAAATAATGAGAAACTTGCTCGAAATAATGACAATCCACGCATGCGCAACACAACGCAGGAACCATGCAGGAACACCGCCAACATTGCTTTGTTCTGTAATCTAAAGTGTATAATCTGTCATTAAATAATAATTTCAGATAAATTATCTGCATGTAGTCTTGTTAATTTGCAGCACTTACCAAGTTACGCTGCCAGAAAGTTCATGGTTTCAAACAGATATAGAGGAATTCCAACAAAAAAACACATTTTATGAAGAAATGAAAGCCATTACACATATAAACTTGATGAATAGATGTTCATTTCGATGATTTGTTA